CTAGGTGTTACAGAACACTGTATGACACTGTATGACCCTGGCTGTATTTATATCCAGGCTATATCCAGAAGATTTTACACGGGGATATACTCATGCTATGACAGTCAGGTGAAGGGAATATTCCTAGTGTAGGAATATTCTTATGGGAACATTCACAAGCTCTACAGAGATAATTTTGTCTTCCTAGTGTTTGCTCCTACTTTCTGAATAGTTTAAAAGTCTCCAATTTTCTCTGTTTATTAGGGGTATATTTATTTTTTTAACATTCAAAAATATATGTATTTATTTGATTTCTGAACATGGTAAAAGTTTTTCATATATGTCGGCAATTAAAGTAAATTATGTCAGTAACTTTTTCATTAATACCACCACGAGCGTCACTGATATTAATGGAGGTAATTTCTGAGACAGAAACACAAACAACAATTAGCACAAAAGCATTAATTGTCCTCTCTTGATTACATTAGCATAAAAACAACGATATACATAGTAGAGTGAACGAGAAAATTTATTAAAATACTCTGGTCTTCCCAATCCTAACCGCACTGGTTATTCGGAACATAGACATAGGAAGCCATGATGGCTTTTGAAGTTGGTATAAATAAAGGACACGGAAGATTAAGAAAATGTTTGATGACACACTACCAATGGTTTCCAATGATGAGATTTCGATCCCATAGCATGGTCGATATGTTTTCTAAAATATACAGGACTTAACGTTTTTGTAATTGCATTTCTGCAAAATATGCAGCAAGAATTGCAGGTATTAGAATCGTTGAGGAGTGACTTGTTAGCTGCATACTCCATGACCCTGTAGTATTGACAAGTTTACCTGGAAGGTCGAGGGGGTGTGTGTGCAATTAACCAAGTGTATTTGCTTAAGTGTCTTTGCAAGGTGGCACCTATTCGCTTGTGGTGTCCAGTCTTCCCAGGTCTCTTTGTCATATGACAATCTGGGTGAATACTCATCTACTTGTGCCTGCAGTATTGAGCACTATAGCTCTTGGACTTGTGTGTGTGTACTCACCTAATTGTTTTTTTTGTTTGTTTGTGTGTGTGTGTGTGTGTGTGTGTGTGTGTGTGTGTGTGTGTGTGTGTGTGTGTGTGTGTGTGTGTGTGTGTGTGTGTGTGTGTGTGTGTGTATGTGTGTGTTCCATGTGTAGGTGTTTGAATCCTCGAACCAGTATGCCTCCCATTCCTCCCCTCCCCTCCTTCTCTCGCCCAGGTGGTATCTGAGAAAGACATGTAAAGAATATTTTTACATGGCTCTCCTCGGGGGAAAAATTTGCTGCAGAGGGTGAAAAATATACCTTCTTAATATTAAGATATAAGCAGTTTGGATTTCTTCAGAGGTATTTTTTTCCAAGTAATTTTTCCTTTTGATGTAACTGATACACAACCACTCGCAAAGTTTTTTTTTCAGGTTGTATTTATGTTTTTTTTTTCAATTCCTTTCCATTCGTTTTTCCGATAAGCTTTTCACTGTGATGTTTCAATATGCATTATTTCCACGTGTTTTCAGTTCACTTATCACCGCATTTCGCCTTACACTTTTTTTAAATGTAATGTTTACACCTGAGTTTTTCAAGCTGTTTTTTTTCACTCAAATTATTCCCATTTTTATTTTAAGTTGCTATATATGAAAATTATTTCCTCTTTTTTTGTGTCATTTGTCTGGTAATTTTACGACTACGTCATGGCGTAGACGGATAACACACACACACACACACACACACACACACACACACACACACACACACACACACACACACACACACACACACACACACACACACATACACACACATATGTGGAATTTAATTTCCCATTTCAGGAATCTGTACTTCAGTTGATTGACAGTTGAGATTCGGGACCAAAGAGTCGAAGCTCTAGCCCCGCAAGCGCAACTAGGTGGGTACAAATAGATGAGTACGCACACACACACAGGGGCCTCGCGACTGAGTGAACAGCGTTTCGGAGTCATAGTCCTGGGCCTGGGTTCGATCCCCGGCGGAGGCAGAAACAAAGGAGCAGAGTTTCTTTCACCCTGGTGTACCTGTTCACCTAGCCGTAAATAGGTAACTAGGAGTTAGACAGCTGCTATGGGCTGGATGTGTGTTTGTGTTAGAGAAAAATATATGTAGTTGACATAATAGAGATAACAATAAACTGGTTAGAAAGGCGGGGTCCAAGAGCTAATAGCTCGATTCTGCAGATACAAATAGTAAATACAATGAATAATTACACACACACTCACACACACCTGGACACCTTCCCTGACCGTCTTCTCACCTGTCTTAGGTAATATTGAGCCCATATTAACATCTGTTAACTACAAACATGGATGAAAAAATATGTAGAAACCAAAACAAAAATCAATCAAGGTGGAAAAGAGCTGCTGAAGGAAAGCGTCTGATTGCTTGATTGATTGATAGATTTTTTCCATAGATTTTATAGAAATCCTTCGTCAATCGACGCTTTTATTATTCTGTTGGAATAGAACGTCAGTATTTTTCTCACCCCTAGTATATTTTTGGCTGTTGTGAGAAATGCTTTTATTTATGCTGTTGTGAGAAATGCTTTATTTATGCTGTTTTTCGAAACGCAAGGTATGATAGGAGTTACATGAACTCAGAGAGACAGACAGATTTTGTTTCCTTTGAAACTATGTTATTTTTTTTGGTGCCTTTGATTAACTGTCATCCTACTTTTTTGTCAAAGATTTTTTTGGTGTTTTATTTTAATCACGAGGACTTTGAAGTTACATTATCAATTCCATCTTTTTTGGATACGAAAGTTAAAAATTACAAATATGAATCGTATTACGTAAAAAAACTAATATTTCCCACGACTACAAATCCATGTCAAGATTCGAATAAAATATGGCACAACTTTTCAACATTTTACATCTTCTTCTCCATATTTATTAGAATAAATTCCTATTCATAATGTGAAGATAATAAAACCTTTTTTTCTGCTGGCATTGAAACTATTTAATGTAAAAATATTACATATAAATTAGTGCAATCACTGAAAAAATGCTGAAAAAGCTGGTTAAGTCTCTATACCTTCAGTTGATATATTAACTCTATGCTAAATAAAGATTGAAACACCATTAATGATTAATCCGACCTTCAAAGCCTCTGCAGTACAACGATAACCCAACATCTTTATTAAACCAGAAAGCCATCTAACCGTCTTGGGCTGATGGTCTTCTTAAATGATACTCTAAAAGCCCTGTTTTAAGAGTAGCCACAGTAGGCTTCTTTGCCTACTTTGCCATCTTTCTGAAAGAAACTTTCTTTGCCTTCTGAAAGACGAGATCTTTCACCATCTCGTCTGATGGTGAACTAGCAATTTTTTCGGGCAGCTCTGAAATGAAATTGATCTAGAAATGGTCCTCCAGGAGAATCCTTTGTTTGAAGGTGACCTATGCAAGTTTTCCAGACGCAATGTCCTGAAGATGAGTTGGAAGGATTTTCCAGAATCCCAATTCTGAAGGATACCTTGAAGGTTCACTTCCAGCTTCCAGCACATGAGCAAAAATTTTACACCATCTCAGATTTGAGGGAAGGCTTTCCAGCAAGCCTGAGATGAGGGTGACTTAGTGTGACGGAGACGAAGAGTGCTCCAAGAGGGTCTTAAGATTTAATATGAACCAAAAGGTTCAAGAACCAACAGGTTCTTAAGTTTACCATTTAAATTTACGTAAGGTATTCCGGCACGATAAATAGCTTCTTACTGCCTAACTTGAAGTTATAATTGGCGTAATGAGAATTTATTGTGTGTAGGAATGTGTTACTGGGGTACGTGCGTCGATTAGTCCAAAGATGCAGAAAAGGTCTTTCGTTGTTCTGTCATCTGCTAAGGATTATTCTTATATCTGTGAGTCTGAGTAGAGTTGGCCAAATTTAGGGATAATTTGCAATGTAAAGTCGGTTTTTAAACGTAGATGTTGTGCCTAAAATGTAAGGGAAATAAATGTTTAGGTAAATTTTAATTTCCATAAAATCTTACCTTAAAATGAATTTTCAATGAAAAATGATCACGTGTGTTTTATTCCGAATATGCAAAACTAAATTGTTTACTAATGGGAAATTAAAGCTTTTGTCTGTTCATAATTTATCCAATTTTACTACAATATTTACACAAAGTTTCTTATACTTTGCTCTAAATAAAACCAGGAAATATTTTTGTCATCTACACAATTCATTAAATGGATTGTCACAGACAGCAGAAACAGCTACTAATCTGGATAAAGTCACTTACTTCATTATATATCCTTTCAGTCTTTTCGTAAAATCCCAAATGGTTCATATATATATATCCAATCCCAATATATGAGAGAGGCTCTTTATTTGCTTGATTCGAAGTACGATAGATTCCAGACCCGAAGGATTGGTTATACGTAATTACCGCCCTAACATCTGCGCTCCGATTGGCCGCCTGCCCTTGCTCAGGAACCCAGTCCATAAACAGAGTTATTTTGTATGCAACACCGTCGTAGATACTGTGCCTGCTTCTTAGTGAGTGGTTTGCCTCGTTATTACGGTCTCTGTTTTGCCCCCGTGGCATGTAAAATAAGCAGCGATACAGCAGTTGATTTTTTCCAAAGACATCTCAATAATGGCACAAATAAGAAAAACAAGTTTAATCAATTTCCTCGAAGGCCATAGCAAGGCTGTCTGCCAGTTTTTTACCGTTGGTAGGGGTTCAAAGGGGGAGCTATTTGCCAGGGCTACCGTTGTCAAGGGTAGCTGTCTGCAGGTATCTACCGTTGCCAAGGGCTATGGGGAAGGCTGTCTGCCAGGTTTATTCCGTTTCTGCTTACTAGTTTTTTGAAATTAACTATTTTCTCAAAGTGAATAAAACTATTTAAAAAAATACTGACGTTTTATCCAACAGCATGTTTGTAGTTTAGTCGAAAATGCAGGGTTAGAATATATATATATATATATATATATATATATATATATATATATATATATATATATATATATATATATATATAATTATAAACTTTCAGCATTTAACCTTTTACAAAATTATTCTCAAATCACTTTTCCTTTGGATCGAATAGCATAATAAACATTTATTAATCTACACAGAAAGCTCAATGTCATGTGGATTATTTTACAGGGTAATAAATATTAGTTGTCTCAGAGAAAGTAGTAAATAGCGAACAGCCAACACAGAAAGACTTAACTCAGTCGTTAATCCCTTTACTGAAACAAGTAAGTTGAACAAAACACTCGAGTCTTTTGTGTATACAATATATATATCTTTTAGATGCCGTACATGTTTACCAAATGTGCAATATGTTCACCCAGTTGAACAATATGTTCACCCAGTTGAACAATATGTTCACCCAGGTGGGCAATATGTTCAACCAAGTGTGCCATATGTTCACGAAGCACACCAAAAAGCGACCTTCTGATCTAATTTCACACAGAAATCACAGTAGAATGATGCATCAAGTGAACAAATCCACAAGGGCCGTGAGGGGTCTAGGATCCTTTCGGACGTAGGTTCGAACCCTCATCACGGCCATTGTGGATTTGTTCTTCTGATCTAATGTTCTGTGACACGTAAAGGGGCAGCCTAACGCCCCCTTTAGAAGAGAAGTATTTGGTAGTATTTGCTTTGAGTTTCTGAACGCATTCTTATATTATGCCTACCATAGCAGGTCTGCCGGTGCTTGTTCCAGGACTAGAGATCATGAAACATTTACGCAATCACTTTACGAAACCTGTTCATCTTTCCTTAATCATAGCTGCGTTGTTTTCATTGATTAAACAGTTTACGAGCTACGAAGCACTACAAGGTTGTTTGTAACAATAATCTTGGGTTGTGAAGTTTCGTGAAGTTCAATGTAAGTAAAGTTCTCATGATTAAGAAAAGATGTACAGGTTCGTACCGGGTTACAAAACTGAGAAAAACAATTCGTAGGAGCCGTGAAGGTTTCATAAATGTTTCATGAATTCTAGACCTAGAACAAACAAACACCTCCAGACCTTCTGTTCCATGCGTAGTGTCGGAATGCATTCAGAAACTGAGAGCAAAAGCTACCAAATACTCTTCTTAATAGACTTTTTCAGCAGATTAACGAATGGACACAAGAATATCGTTAAACGTTGAGCAAACAATTGCGACTTTCAATAACAAATTTTTCTAACGAGTCGAGCTTATAAGCTGTCAGTTACTAGATCTTGTGATGGATTTTCAGCTTAACAGTACATAAATTCTTGACCCGGTGTTCTGTTCAATATATGTAGGTAATGTTGCAATACATGAACGTCCCGGTGACTTACCATCATTTCACAAGCAAATTAGAATGGATTTCGGTGCATTTGGTCACTGCATCAACGTTGCTATGCACTTGTAAAGACAGAAGACTCGGGTGTTTTGTTCTTGATATATTTCAAACAACATGGAATACACATTCGTATACATCTTCTAGCAAGTTGGTAAATGAGAAATAAATATACAAATGCTTCACTAATTTTTCCATTTTACAATAACCAAAGAAAAACAGTGTTTATTTGAGCCTTGTATTATTTGAAATCATATTTCTGGAGACTCCAAATTTTAAAGCCACACTAAGAGCCTCTTTTTAAATCAAGACTAGCGAGAGTTGATTTATTTACACTGGTATATTGGAGTTCATGCTCCTTCAGCCTGGAATTTCCAGTCCTGCTGTTAAACTTTGTTTTTATAAACGTTTTACAAAACGACACTTCCCATGGTTGATCCACTGCTAAAGGCTAACAGGGGAAATATATTTTGTACGACTCTATATGTACACATAAAAATCATATATTTATTTACACGTAATATGTACAGAGGAGTTGAGGAAGTCTGCTGCGGCGATCACCGACTTCTGGCTTCTGTCGCACACCGTCGGAAGCTTCGGCTCATGTCGACATTTACGACGGAGAAGACTTGATTCTTTGCGAAATTAATTTGAAAAGATGACTTTTTTCCCTCCTCTTCATCAGTCTCCTTTTCCGTGTGGACGAGAGCTAAACCTCCACCAGAAGCTTCCACAAGGAAATTCTGAAAATCCCTAGAGAACGTTAAGGGCTGGATAGCCACAGAGCGTTCTGTGGCCCAACGGTTAAAGTCACCAGCAGCAGCAGCAGCAGCAGCAGCACCGCCAGGAGCCATTCTCAAGTAACCTTGGTTCTGTGCTTTCGCGACCCGATCCTCAAGCCCGATAAGCGCTTCTTGTATCAGATGAAGAGCGTTGACTTTCAGAAGCCCGCGAAGAACTTCAAAAGTCCTTAGCTTCTCAGGATCAAAGGCGATTGTGGCGAGCGCTTGACGACTGCTGGAGATGAAGGAGGTGGCGAAGGGAAGCGATTCTGAAGAGAAAGTGGAAGAGGAGGAGGAGGAGGAGGAAGAGGAGAGGGAAGGTACCATCGGAGACTCAGATGATAAGTCAAGATCCAAGGATCTCTTCTTAACTCGCGACCCATTTTCTTCATTAAGTCCGAAGGAATAGGTGCAGATGAGTACACAGAGGAGGACGAAGAGGGTGACTTGAAACTTAGCTTCAATGGCCCGTGCGCTGTTTCGTTCACCTTGCATCGCTTCCGGGTGCTTCTCTGCTGGGAAGAAAAGAGAAGAAAAATGTGTTAATTTACAGCTCTCGAGAGAAATTTTAAATTTCCAGAGATCACGGAACTTGGACGAGCTCACATGCGCGCACACACACACACACACACACACACACACACACACACACACACACACACACACACACACACACACACAACAAATGGCTGTTGAAGTTCAACCCGAGTAAATGCAAAGTAATGAAACTAGGAAGTGGAAACAGGAGGCCAGGCACAGGATACAGAATAGGAGATGAAGTACTTAATGAAACAGACAGAGAGAAAGATCTAGGAGTTGATATCACACCAAACCTGTCTCCTGAAGCCCACATAAAGAGAATAACGTCTGCGGCATATGCGAGGCTGGCTAACATCAGAGCGGCGTTCAGGAACCTGTGTAAGGAATCATTCAGAATCTTGTACACCACATATGTAAGACCAATCCTGGAGTATGCGGCCCCAGCATGGAGCCCGTACCTTGTCAAGCACAAGACGAAGCTGGAAAAAGTCCAAAGGTATGCTACTAGACTAGTCCCAGAACTAAGAGGCATGAGTTATGAGGAAAGGCTGCGGGAAATGCACCTTACGACACTGGAAGACAGAAGAGTAAGGGGGGACATGATCACAACCTACAAAAATCCTCAGGGGAATCGACCGGGTAAACAAGGATGAACTATTCAACACTGGTGGGACGCGAACAAGGGGACACAGGTGGAAGCTGAGTACCCAAATGAGCCACAGAGACGTTAGAAAGAACTTTTTCAGTGTCAGAGTAGTTAGTAAATGGAATGCATTAGGAAGTGATGTGGTGGAGGCTGACTCCATACACAGTTTCAAATGTAGATATGATAGAGCCCAATAGGCTCAGGAATCTGTACACCAGTTGATTGACGGTTGAGAGGCGGGACCAAAGAGCCAGAGCTCAACCCCCGCAAGCACAATTAGGTGAGCACACACACACACACACACGCACACACATACACATAAACATACAGATACACGCACACACACGTTCGACACAGCTCAGACTTCTAGGCTTCCAGTGATCAACACAACAATATGAGGGCAGATTAGAGATCTTGGCTTCCAGATCTTGGCTTCCAGATCTTGACTTCCAGATCTTGGTTTCCAGATCTTGGCTTTTAGATCTTGGCTTCCAGACGAGCTTACTCAGACTCTCACCTTTTCCAATCCATTAAGTTTTCAATTAACTGCTTCAAAGAAAAGCCAGTGCGACTCCTTACCAAGTGAACCAAAACACTCCTTACTCCCTTGCCTCCATTACAATTGAAAAACCTTCCACGACCACTGACATCAGACTAAAATTCTGAAAGCATTGAACACAAATGCAAATGGGGTGACGACCAAGACAGATGAACTCCTAGAGAGAAGAGACCTAGACCAAAGTTGCTACAATTAAAACTAAGTTGACTAGAGAGGTAACAAATTCCCTTTTCTATTAGGAAAACCAGTTGACAAAATTATAATACAAGGAAATGGGGGAAAAGGGGAATGACACTTGATCAACGACATGTGCAGCTTGAGAGGAAAATGAACACGGTGTGAGCAAACAGTTGCCAAAGCTTCAATGCAAGAGTGATTGAAAAAGGTGTGAAGATGGTAGTGGCAGTGATCTATAATCCCTTGAGAAAACCAGAAGACTCCGGCACGAGCGACAGCAAGCAAATATAACCTGGCAAGACAAGCGACAATAATTTGTACAGGAAGAGGCAGCAGTTTGTACCCTCACAGACGCTGACAAAGTAGATTATGATGAACTGCATGTAACGAACATCAACAGAATGAGAGAGGTGGGTGAGACAGCTGAGAGCCTCGGACGAGTCATTTGGATATAAGAAAGAATTTGTTATACGATATACTTGTGAGGAAATGGAATGAACTGAAGAAAATAGTGGTCAAAGCTCTATATATTTAAGTGTGCGTTCGGTTTTGTTACATTTGGCCACCAAAAACTTTAAAGGCGGGCCCAACAGCTAACGCTTGATTTTGCAGGCAGTGTCAATAGGGTTCACAGCCTGCAGAGGTTAATTGACAGGAACTACAGACAAAAAAGTGCTTATCCCTTCAAAAGCACTTACTAATGTCATTAAATGTCAATAATGCTGGAGTACTTGTCAACAGAAAAATAAGAGTGAAGAGTCTGATAATCAAACGGAAGACCATCTAGTTTGATATTTATTTTACAAAACTAATACCCACTTAGATAAATGCTTTCAAATACCTGAATGAAAACATCAAACCGAGTATAATAATTATATTAGAATCATGGGAAATAACATTTAAAAAGCGCCATCACTGGTCTTATGTGTTCCACAAATAAATGAAAAAATAATTCCTGATGCATTTGGGGTTAGAATCAGACAAAGGAGCTACCATAATCCACTCTCAATGATAGTTTTTGTCTGTATCTCTGTCCTCTGCCCGTCTCTTTCTCTCCCTCTCTTTGTCTGTTTCTCTCTTCGTCTCTCTCCCGCTGTCTCTTTATCTCCCGTGTCTCTCTCTCTCTCTCTCTCTCTCTCTCTCTCTCTCTCTCTCTCTCTCTCTCTCTCTCTCTCTCTCTCTCTCTCTCTCTCTCTCTCTCTCTCTCTCTCTCTCTCTCTCTCTCTCCAGCTCCCTATCTCTCTTTCATTCCTAAGAGTTTTAAAGTAGACATTACTCGCATCAAGTGTCTGGGACGACGAGAAAATAAGACTTCTGGCCCAGGAGCAAATCTCAAAAAAGCCTGGAAATTCGCCAGTGAGCCGTTTTAAGTCCACGTCTTCGAATTTATGGACCATTCTAAAAATATTTTTACTAGAAATATTCACTCTTACAAGTAAAACTTCCTTTGAGAGGCGGTTTTAGAAGGAAAGAGGCCGCAGTAATGACCGGTCCGGCGTCAGGTGGTAATGGTTAGTGCTGCTGTATCTCAAACAGCTGCAAATGTGTTTGGAAGGAATGTATGTTTGTATGTGTGAGTGTGTGTGTGTACTCACCTATTTGTGCCATGGAGATCGAGCTGCTAGCTCCTGTTCTCTTTCCTTTCTAAGAGACGGATGTCTTGTGTTCCTGCTCCCGGGTTTTTATCTTATCTAGTATGTTTAAAACATATCTCTTTCTGTAAATTAGAATGTTTGTCTGTATTTGTCTGTCTGTGTTTGTATGTCTGTGTTTGTCCGAGGCAGAAGGCCAGACTGTATTCAGACCATTGGGGTTTGTCTCAGCCAATTTATTAACACTAATTGCTGCTGGGTATATGGACAACAAGGTCGGATCATGTTTGTATAAAGCGAATGAGTGCTCTTGACACAGTGCCAAAATTCTACCCCCCCCCCCTTTCTCCGCCCTTCCCCAAGATAATTTTGTAATATGATAATTAGACTTAGGATTATTTTCATTTTCTTTGATTTTTCTTTTTAAATTGCAAAACATTTTGCACTGATGTCTGTAAATCAAAAACAAAATTATCATACTTTTGTGTGTGTAATTAGCAATAATAGGCGATTGCTGGTATCTTGGGATTGAGGGGATAGGGTGGGGTAGATGTGGTTAGCAAACGCATGCTGCCCACCTCCACATGCTGCCCACCTCCACATGCTGCCCACCTCCACATGCTGCCCACCTCCACCCACCATAGCTGGGGCGGGGGGAGGCAAGGCTTCATTTCAAGGCACGCCAATAGTCCGCAGAGAGAGAGAAGAGGGGAAGGGGAGTAGGATGGGAGATAGAGAATAGGAATAAAGTGGGAGAGAAGAGGAGAGTGATGAGGAGAGAGGCAGGTGAGACAGATAGACAGATCAATCGAACCAGCAAACAATGGGTGTATACCTGTACAGGTGAATACATTCACACACACACACACACACACACACACACACACACACACACACACACACACACACACACGCACACACACACACACACACACAGACACACACACATATATATATATATATATATATATATATATATATATATATATATATATATATACATATATATATATATATATATATATATATATATATATATATATATATATATATATATATATATATATATATATATATATACATTCATATATGATAGAAAACGCTCACAAACACTTTTGTTTCGCGCGAGGAATTTACATTGACTTAAAAAAAATCTACAAGCGTATGCATCATGAGAAAAAAAGTTGAACCAGCGTTTACACACAAAAACAATAACGTAACTCTGTCGGCCTTTTATAAATAGGGGAAAAAATATCACACCAATACAAACACGCGAGTCTGAAAGTCCCCCAAAAAATAAAAAGTAAAAAAAAATCAATATACAGCGAAGGGAAATTTAATGCCCAACAAAAACTCGAAATATGGCGGCATAGATATGTATTTAGTTCATGCAAACGAAAAAAAAATCATAAAATAAAATGAAAATGTGTCGTGTTCGTATATAACTGAATAGGGTGAAATAATATTTATTTCTTCTAAGTTGGTGCATAGAAAGACAGAGGTGTTGTTATTATTTAGTGAATATAAAGCAATATTACATCAGGTAAAGCCGAATAAAAATGTTATATCAAACTCTGAAACCTGAAATAAACATTACAATAACAGTAGATAATTCAGAGTTTCGTTCCTGAAAGAAATATGTTTGTTGATGAAAGAACAAAATTCACTTCCAGAAGATCACTGTAACACCAAGATGACGGTGCCAAGTTTAACAGTGTAATATCACCGGTTGAGAACGCTCCAGGTTCAATCAGTTTTCGTTACGCGGATTCTTATCTTTTTTTCTTTTTACAAGAATACTCCTCCGCGGGCCCTAGGCCTCTGGCTGGCCCATTAAGCATTATCCATAACATTTAGACAGTGGACGTGAATAAGTCATATGTTGGCTTCATTATGATCAAGTCCAATATACCGTTGGTGTCTTCCATTCATACTTTCTTAATATTCCACTCGCGATATGCAGAACATCTTAACAAACTGATACAATTGAAGCGTAATTAAGGAAAGCGTTAATTTATGGATGTTTTATTCTGCACTGAAGTCAATATTTACTCGCTAAGAGCAATGACAAGATGTACATTAACCAAGCAAGGGGTTCAGATACCCTGGAGACTGCCACGCTCCACACACACACATACAAACCATTCAGAACGAGGAGAGCGACTACCGCACGATACAGGCACACATAAACAGTCCATTCAAAATGCACACAAGCTCTATCTCTCGATAAAAGAAACATGTGTACTGACCATTCAGAACGAAGGAAAAGAACTACCACTCGATAGAGGACATACATGCTGACCAATCAGAAAGTACAAAAGACAAGAATTCGATAATTGGACATATGTACTGGCCATTCAGGACGTACACAAGGACTCCCACGTGCCAAGAACACACACACACACACACACACACACACACACACACACACACACACACACACACACACACACACACACACACACACACACACACACACACACACACACACACACACACACACACACACACACACACATATCCACTGACCATTCAGGACGTGGAGGGTGACGGAGGCAGCGTGCAGGTTCGAGGGCATGCAGGTGAAGTTGCCGCTCTGCTCCTGACGAACTTTGTGGATGGTCAAGGTTGAGGTGATGGCTTCCACGCCGGTTCGCTTGACAGTTACCTGGCCGGGTGAAACACAAAAATTAAGAAAAAAACATGAAATAATTAGCAACATTCTTATTGGGAAAGAAGTTGATCAATTTAAATTAGGTTTTTCATCTATTTGGACTAGTACAGCATCGCCCTTGCTTCTTGCAGGTCGACGTTCGATACCCCAATGGTCTAAGTGGTTGGGCTCCATTCCTTCCCTCTGTACTGTCTTAGATCCTTGTCCCTTTTTCCAGTGCTCTATAGTCATACTGGCCTAGCACTTTCTCCTCATTTGTCCTATCAACAAAATCAAGGCAGAATTGTCAGTTTATAGCAGTGTACTGCTCTAGCCAACCATTGAGGCATCAGGGAAAGATTACCAAGTTCTCTCGAGTGAACTTGAACTTGTCTCTCTTCATTCTTCACTAATATATTTATATATATATTTATATATACTGTCCCCTTTACCAATTTATTTCACTTTCCATCTTGCTCTGAGGATGTTGAAAAGTGCTTCTGCGAAATACATCCTTCAGCGACATGTGTCAACTCCACTTAAATTGTTAAAATCACCTTAAAGTTACGTTTTCAATGTCTTTCCCAAGAGAAGAAGAATACAAGAAATATGGAAACAAAATTGTGCTTGAATCCTTTATTTTGCAACTGAGTTCATATTCAATAACATTGAATAGCAGGATATTGAGTTTGTTCAGCTCATGATTCAGTTTAGCAACATGCATAGAGTCCAAGATATTAGGGTCTATTCTAAATTAACAAAACGTCATTTCAGTAAAGAAGCTATAAGTGAAAGGGTGACTCATTGCTTCACTGTGATCACACATTGCAGAAGATTCAACTTATTTAAGTGACAATCACGTGCAACAAAAGAAACCAATATATTTACAGCTGCATAAAAATGCGGAATGAAGCAAACAGCGTAATTGGATTTATTTCTAGACGCGTTTGCAATAAGACTTGAATACCAATCAGCTTTATCTTGCCCTTGCTATAGGTTCCATTTACATTATGCAGTTCAGTTTTGGTCACCATGGACATAAGTTCACTTGAACAAGTACAGAAAAGGATGACAATAATAGCCCAAGGATTTACAAACCATCCTTATGGAGGGATTTTAATTAGATTTATTTCTGAGGATGTGAGAGGGATATGTACCATCAGTGTACCGAAAAAGTGTTGACAAGAAATGTAGCGTAGGGGTGAAGGTACTATACTGTGGAATATATCCTGAATGCAGTGTAGGAGATACGGTACTCACCAAGAGGTTGGGATCACGTCTATCCATGACTCGCTTGTCCTCATGGTACCAGAAGATGTAGTCAGGGAGCTGCACCACGTCTGTGATCTGACAGTCAACCCGTACCGTACTTCCAGCCTTGACGTACCTGTCACCCACAGGTACGATCACCACCTTGGGAACTGTAGGAGAAGATACACTTAGGTTACTGAGAAATACAGACAGACAGGCAGACATACAAGACAATAAACTTACCAGCGATCTAGTCTACGTTACGACGGATATTAAAGGAACACCTTGGCATTAAACTCTCTGGGTATTACGTCGTAAAACGTAAATTGCACCTCTCTTGTAGTAAATAAATAGTGTGTGAATGAATACTTGAGCTAAAGACCATCTTTATGTTACATTGAGCCAAGTGCAACTATAATTTCCTGCTCCTGCGCGCAAGCAGCAGCTCTAAGTCAGCACTGCGGCTCCAGACTTGTTACTTATGCAAGCTTTCGCTATATGAGTCTGCAATGCGACTTTAGACTTGTTCGGTATAGAAACAGGCGCTCTGAACCTGTAGTGAGTCTCTAAAATTTGTTCCAATTAATGTTTGCGTGTGGAACAACCGGCAAATTGGTGAAAGCAAATATACACACTTCACGTTAAATGTTTCATGCGTACAAATTCCTTATGAAGCAACACCGTTGGTTTATAATAGATTTTCTTCTGGTATCTGTAACAGGTTTCTCGGTTACTCCTTGCTGTTCCTGCTGTTGTTGCTGCTGCTATTCTTGCTGTTGGTGCTTCTGCTGATACTGCTGCTCCTGCTTCTGTTGGTGTTGACGTTGTTGCTGCTCTGCTTGCATGCACGTTTTAGGGTTTGCGTAGACTTGTGGGTTTCTTCCTGGATGCACGTGCGTGTGGTAACCAAATAAATTCAACACAGTTATATATCAATCAATATGATCGATTGAAACAAGTCTCGTGTCAACAAAACTGTTGAAGCCACTTTACCAAGCGACACATAATCAGAAAATTACATATACTTACATATAAAGTACATAAATGGTGAAGCATTCTCTCCAGAACGCTGACGATTTAATGAAAGTTTCGACATCTTGCCTACACAAAAGAAGAAATACACAGCGATGTGTATTCTGCTTCTCGGTGTGTATACACTGAGAGCTTACGTTTCTTCTGCGCTGCGTTCAGGGCTAAAGTGTACATACGGGTCGGTCAGTAAGCTCTTGTGTTGGGCTTTAATAACCCTCCAGAGTCTGATAGGCCTTATAAGCACAAAAGCAAACTCTCCTCCCTGCTCACTGTCTACACGAGAAACCTTCATTTTTAGAACTCTTGAATTAGTGATTTTTTCTCGTATCCTTTCTTCAAGCAGAAGGATCATTTCAAGGCTTCATCTGAGGGCATCAGATCTGAGGCATCATGGAAGGGCTTCACCTGAGGGCATTACCTGAGGCTTCACCTAAGAACATACTCATCTTCATGTTTGTTAGCCATAGTCGTAATGAATTGGCGCCTTCTTCTCCTAGTTGACTTCCCTTCCCTCGTTATGTTGTTCAACATTCTCCAACAAATGAAAACTATTTTGCTTAAAAAAAATACATGTCTCGAACGTCCCATTATTAACTATATAATAGTTACAACATGGAAATAATGATTCATCCTTGCTCTATCCCTTTTCTAAGTCTAGTGTAAAATAGGCAAGGATTCGCATGTTCGTGAAGGTGTATAAGAATTTCTCATACAATTTGCAATTAATTTAGTGTCCTCCGTAATTCTGTTCTTGATGCCTCGTTTGGTTAAGGACTCCATCTCTGTGTTGCTATTTAAATTTTAATGGTGTGTTAACTTCTTGGTAAGTTCTTTTGTGCTTTTTTCCTTTACTTTTTTAAATTTATGTATAACTTTATTGTAAACAAGAAAATTGACTGCATTATTTTCTTTTAAATACATAAGTTTGTAGGTCTATTTCATTTATATACTTTTAATAAAGCTCATTTTACTGCTTAAGGGCTTGTGTATTTAAGTAATTTTAATGCTTTTAATGCAACATTTTCTCTGGTTTAAATTAATGTCTGCATTTAAAGCATTGTATATAACAATGTACAATGTTCTTCATATCATTGTACACTTCAGCAGTTTGTATTTCGATCATATAACTATACCATGCAAGTATTGCATATTTTAAGAATATTTTGCAAATATAGCATATATGAAGATTATCATGCAAATTTTGTCATTCAAACATGTATTAACACTACCGTGCAACTATCGTAATATTAATACAGGCATGCAAATATCGAATACAATAGCAGTATTATCATGAAAATACATTGTGCATATTATTAATTACATTATGCTAATTACATTATGCTAATTACATTATGCTATTAATTACGTGCTGTAAATCATTATCTTTCTTAAATATATTATTTTCTATAGACCTCTTTATATTTAGCTCACTCTGGTTGTTCTTTATTTCTATAGATATATTTTTCTCATCCCTTCCTCTACTCTCTCTATTGGCCTTTCTGTCGGCGTCTGTTTGTCTATATCTCTCTTTATCTCACTTTGCCTCGCTCTTTTTCTCTCCCCTCTCCTTCTTCTTTCTTTCTCCAAGCGTGTAATCTCTCTCTCTCTCTCTCTCTCTCTCTCTCTCTCTCTCTCTCT